TCAGAATGAGTTTTAATGTCTGATTTTGAACTGGATGGAAAGGAATGTCAGCTACATAATTTAGTACTGGAACCAAAGTTGTAAACCCAACAAGAAGCCCTGTTTTAAAGCTTGCTCGGCTTTTGATAATATGTCAAGTACCTGAACACAAGATTTGATCACGGGATCCTTGAGTTTCTGAGAGTTTTTCTTAATAATACAGTCATAAATAAGCTTCGCAAGAACACATCTAATGACCATAAAAATCAAAAATTAAAAGCTTAACCTATCTACACTAGGAACACTGAAAAATTTGTAGAAATTCAATAAATACTTCTGAATAATGATAATTGTTGACTCATAACTTAAACAGCACAGTTTCTGGTTTCCTGATGTTTGGCAATACTCAAATGCAACTCTGTCAGCACAAAAAATATCTAGCAGAGGGCATATATTATTGTTCTATTTGGCACTGAAACTTTACTAACCTGACAATCTCAGTATTTCAAATACATATCTGCAATGTTTTCTTCCACTGGGACTTGCGTTTCTTTGCCTGAAGTGCCTTCCCAGGAGGACACGTAATTAAAAAGTAAATCCAGTGTGCTGATCTGAAGTTGGCTGTCTGTTGAAAGAAGTGGGCCTTTGATGGCCTCCGTAAACAATATATTCATTGGATTCGCATTTTTTCCATCTTATGTTGCTTGCTCAAAGCTATCTCCTTCAGATGAACTCATGCTATTTAAATCAACTGCATATGCTGCCCCGAAAAGTCCTCTCCGAGTCTGAGCCAACACTGTCAAGAACGCTGGACAAGTAATATGGAAATTGTTAGTTGCAAGAAAACAGGACTGATACCAATGGGGAAATGTGCATGTAAAATAGGGAGCATTCCATGCTATGTCAGGATCACTTCCCCAAAAAGTTATATATTACCTGAAAGGTTTAAAATTATAATTTTTTCCGCTACAGGCGTTAAGTTCTCTAGTCAAGGACTCAAGCACTTGGAGCTGCAATGTTTTTATCGTTTGATTCTAAATAAACTCAAGATGCAAAGTATCTTGTAATGATATGAAAGAAATTGCAAGGACCTTCAACTTCACACTTAAAATATGGTCTGACATCAACAAGAAACAATTGTGGTGTAATTAGGGAGTTCGTTTGCAGGCTTGATATCTATATATGCCTATGTGCCCAAAAAGAAAACCTACTCTGAAAAATTAAATAAATAGAAACACATGGGGTATAACAAGCTGACCAAAATGCTAGTCATATCTTGCTGAGCTGTGCTTTAAATAAGGGAAAATGGACCACACTTATAAAGCACAAAAAAGAAAGTATTAAAGAAGTGGAAAACTTACCTACACAATTCAAGCGGACTTCATTGCGTTGGGTCTTCATGAGGGCCTCTAGAGACAAGTGCAATAGCTTGGGGCAAAAGGCAAATAAAAAATCAGCTCCATCACAACCTCTGATGCGTATTGGAGAGCAGATACCTTGTATAGAACGAACAGGATTTCTCCTTGAATATCTTTACT